GACCAACAAGATCAAAAGCACCCTGGGAAACTTGGGCAAAAGCCTCGATCCTATGTATTAGTCCGTGAATCCGTGAGTCTTTGAAAGTCTTCCTCACGCAGCAGGTGCGTCTCTGACCCACAAAGTAGGATGGATTGGGCAGTGTTATCGTGCCCCTTTTCCTTAACATTGAAACTGACATCACCTCAGCAAATGCCCCCCTGGTCTTTACGACTCAAGATGTGGTTTCGTATTTCACCAATCCTCGCGGATCTACAAAGGTGCCTAGATAAACGACAACACAACGACAACACTGATCGCCCAACAAGTCTTGCAGTAAAACACAGGTGAGAACGTACCAAACTGCATGGCGAAGTTGTTTAGGCTACCTAAAATAGTTTGCAGTTCTAAGGTGTCTCGTCCAAAGAAGCGTTATTGTTGCAGTTCTAAGGTGTCTCGTCCAAAGAAAGCGTTATTGTCAGCGTACCCAAGGGCAGCAAAAAGGACTTCAGCTGCAAATCGATTATGAAGTCAAAGACTAGGATATGGTGAATCAGGAAGGAAGTCACCATAGGCACGAATGCGTCCACGGGATAATATGCACAAAGCCCTAAGTACGAACTCAGAAAGGATAAGCCTCAATGCTAGACGCTGCTGGAGTTTACAACAATCAACGGAGTTAGAAGCAAGTCTGTGACCGAGAAAAGCTATCATCGTTAGCTCACGGAAAGAGCGGTACGGTTCCAGAATTTCCAGCGAAGTGATGCAACTGCAGCCGGGGCAAGACTTGGCTTGATTCCCGCGAATCTGACTCACCCAAAGATGGGTCAATCTTCGTAGGATATTACCAGCGAGCACAACTAGGCTGGTGCTCCGGCGGTTTTCGCACGACATTCTTCACGGATTCATGGATTGATACACAGGATCGAGGCTTTTGCCCAAGTTTCCCGGGTCGGTTTTGTTCTTGTCGGTCAGTGGCTGTCGTTCACCTGAAAGACACAAGTGAAAAAAGGGTAAAGCACTGCTCTTTATGTTCTCAGCGCGGATCAGTATGCTCACCCGCGCGAGGATTCGCACAAATAAACGTCTAACAGTGCTTTAAACCGGGTTCTAGAAGGAGCGTGGACAACCGTCGGAGGAAGGTCATTCCACGCAGCTACTACCCGAAATGAAAAAAATTTTGTCTAATGAATGTGTGTGCCCTGAGCTTGAGAATTTTCTTACTATGTCCCCGCCGGGTGTTTGCTGGGTCAACGGTAAAAAACCTGTTTGCCAAGCCTTGTTCAAACAGGGCATAAGTAAGAATTAGGTTCCCTCGGAGGCGACGGTACTCCAGGGGAACGCCGTCGACCAGCTGAATCCATTTGGAATTTCTTTCCCATCCCAGACTTTTTAGAGCAGGGTCATTAGGCTAGCTACTACGGCCTCGCCGCTTTCTCCTAGGAGTGCAGCTTGCAGATCGTCTGGACCAAGTGCACTGTAACCATGGAATTGCACTCTAGGTCCCGTGGACGGTGACTGACTAATGTACACCTTCCACTCGGGCCCTTACAGAGGATGGGGTTATGTGACCTAGCTGAACTGTTCTTCAGACAGTTCAGCCGAGACGACGTTTCTGTGAGCAAACTGAGTGTTGTGTCTTGGTGGACGATCGTGCAACTCTGTATCGGTCCGTTAGCTTCGCCCACTACGATATACCAAAAGGCATGGTAGCTCTAGACAGTTCTTTATGGAGACTAAGGAAAATTATTACGACTGCATTTATACGGTAATCACAGGGTGTTCCACAAGGTCGTGCCAGAATCTCCTTAATGGGGCGAGAGGCGTCGAGTAAAGGGTGCTCGATTCGGATTGGCTGGCATTCCGACCAATCAGGGCATGGCTTCGTTTGGTCCGTATCCTGCACGTGACACATTCATCCAAATGATGTGACGTTGGGTTGTTAGGGACGGCTGGCCTCCGTACACTGGGGCCCCGTCATTTTTTGATATCATTTCACTAATATCCGGCTCCTACCAGTTAACTGAATAGATTAGAACAGGGTGTGGTTGTTACTCGTCGCAAAGATTTTCCACGTTTCTCGGGCTTTTGCAACCCACAAGCGCTGTCCGTCAACCTTCAGGCTCTTCGTTATTCAAAGTTTTAGGGATTTGCGCACGCCATCGTATTCGTTTTTTCCTGGTATAGTTTTCCTGGCCTCAATCAGAGGTACTGATCTTTCCGAGACCTATTGTTCATTGGGGTGTTCGACTGACAGACGGAGTGACGGGCAGACGGTTCCAAAAGCTGTTAACATGGCTTATTTCACTTTTGTCCAGTGTTCATCAAAATTACCACTTATCGTGCCCATCGAGTTCTGAAAGTTTCTCAGCCAACTCAATTCGGTGTCGTTGAGTAACAGGCGCTTTGCAGGGGGTGAGCTGAATGGTTTTGCATCAGCCGGCCTTCTCCAGAAAAAAAGTGGATAGATACGCGCTCACCCAAATCAAGGACTATAATCCTTAGACCACGTGGAATATATTGGCTGCAGGGCCTACGGGACCGTGTGGACGATTTATCCCATTCTGTCACAAGGAGACATGCAAATGGACCGCGAACTCAGAACTAAACCTAAGAGACGGAATAAATTGTGGAATACCTTTAAATTGACTAGCTGTTATATATATCAAACTGAGCGTAACCTACTCATTCACTAAGAAGAACTAAACCTAAGAGACGGAATAAATTGTGGAATACCTTTAAATTGACTAGCTGTTATATATATCAAACTGAGCGTAACCTACTCACTTCACTAAGACGACGCAAACGCCGCGGGTATGAGTACGCTTTGACAGTCCTTACATACAGCGGAAGAGCATGGTAGAAAAAGCTGTACAACCCCTTCGCTGGGGGACATACGAACTGTCAAAACCTGACGGCCTGAAGCGGTGATATTAGAACGGTACGTATCTTTCTTTGCAACTGCTTGCATCGAGTCCGACTAACCCCTCAGTGCCGAAGAAATTGGCTGCACATATCCTCTGAGTGCGGTCTTTACAAGGTTACCACGAATAAGGAAAGAAGTTGTTTCACAAAAGTAGCTTTAGGATCGACCCAACACATCGCCGTCCAGTGAGTTTCACCTCCCGAAGTCGTTGAAAAAATCGTAAGAAGAGTACTTGTGGTATGAGGAGCAACACGGATTCCGCGAAAAGAGATCCCGCACCGCCAATATGCTGCTTGGACACCAACAACTGGATGTCGTCTTCGTTTATTTCGGTAAATCCTTCGATCGGGCCTATCGTTGCAGGACGTTAAATAAGGTCTCTACCTATGGAATTCAAAAGAGGATGTGTTAATATATCGCAGAATTTCTGGTTGAAAATCAAAGCTTATGGAAGTCACTCTTAGATTCACCGATGTCGCAAGCGAAGTGCCACAAGGACCGGTTCTGGGACCGGCTCTTTTTATTATCTTCGTTGATGACGTAAAAAGATCGTTCAGCTGTAGCACCCTTTCGGTGCCTCACTGCCATGCCACCAGAAGGGAGCACGAAGGCTGGAATACTGCTACAAAAGATTGGCCCTAAAGCACACAATTCAACTGCCAGCTAGTTAGTCTGATCGCCGACGATTCACCCACTACTACTGAAATGCGCTTAAAATTTAGCCAGAGCGATGTGGCTTCAAGCGCATCTGCTGTGCGCAGTAGTATCGGGAGTAAAACACTCTGCGCCCTTGGGCTAGGCCAGTCCCCTCGCAACCAAGCGGGTCAGACTGTTGAGTTACCGGCTCTAAGAAAACCATACCGCTGGCTACCTTTTGGACCGAAATTTCGTGTCAAACGCTGCTGACGGAATACCAGAACAAAACCACACCTTTCAAAGACAACGTGGGAACCTCAAAGAAAGCTCTTCTTCGGCCTAGCCAACCAAGCGGTATCATACGTCCTTGTAACCCTTCGTCCACTGGTTCTCTCTCTCACACACACACCCTCTTCACCCACCCAATGGTGCTTTGTGGTTAACTCATCTCCAGGTAGCCCAGTGGTTAAGACGCAAGGTCGCGAGATCCGTGGTTTGAACCTAACCTTCGCATCTCGCATGTTCCTCTCTAGGCTTGGGCAACCTGGCCAACCAGTCCTTGCGATTCCTTCGGGCGGCGTGGCAGCTATGCAGCTAAAGGGTGTTACAGCTGAATAATTCTTTACACACTTTTCGTTTCCAAACCATCGCCCGGAAAAATAAATAAAAATAGCTTCTCTCTAAACTCAAGTTTTCAGTGTCTTTGTACTCTGTCAGATCTCGCGAATCCTATCCTAGAAGGCGGGTCGCACTGACATTATCCGGATTATTCGTAATGCCCCTCTGTCAGGTCAGAGGTTCACCATCTCTCTGCTTGCGTCACTTCTAATTGGGCACAGAAAACAGCCCTTTTTTCGACAAGCAATCATTTGGCAATACATGACCAAACCACCGCAGCTTTTGATTGCAACTAAATTGCCCAGTCAGCGAACAAACCAACGACCATTGGAGTTTCTGATGGACAACCGAATATTCATCTAATTATATCGTTGAGGACTCGCCGGCATTAGCTTACACGAGCTATTGCTCTGAGACGACGGTGTTCGGAGACCTAGAGACTTCTCACTTTGGCTACTCGCAGACACCATACCTCACAGCCATACGACAAAACACCCCATACTCTACCCTGGTACACGAGTCCCATGAAAGTCAGATATATGCCATTTTGCTTCCATAGGTATCTTAAATTAGCAAACCCGAATTGATCCTCAGGGATTCATGCACTAACCTCACTGGTCACGGCACAATCGGAACTAGTACAACTTCCAAAGTACGTAAAGCGTTCCACAACCTTGAGTGTCCTTCCTTGGAATGTAAAGGACGTGATCTGTCGTTGAATGCCCAGGGGCATGACTTCACATTTCGTGAGCTCAATGCGCAAGCCAAAGACTTTGGACAGTTCATATAAAAATACCTGTGGCTCTTCCTCTTTGAAGATGAGAATAATTTCGCCTACAAATCCCACATAGAAAAGACGCGGTTTACATGTGAAGAACTAGTTGATGATGACGAGTAGTACCACTGCTCCCTCTGATATCTAATCTAACTCTTGAGTGAAGCTGTTTGGGTCGTGTCGTGACGTAAGCAAAGATTTTGCCATATCCTTCTGGTGCCAGTTGGCGACCGACGGTAGAGCACTCCGGAGAGTGTCCGGAGGTCGGTCCTGATAAATTCGTTTGACCTCAGGATCTCTCTCAGTTGCGGAGTCGTTTGTCCGTCGCTGGTGCAGCCCAGAAAAGCAAGAAGACGGAACCCCAGACGGGTGTGCGATCAGAATTCACACAAAATTTGTCAAAAGAAGCGGCGGTCAGTTGCTGACTCATGCCAACGGTAACTGGCAACGACGTGGTAAACTTGAGTCGTCATTGGCTGTTTGCTGAGGGTACCAAAGTATCCAGGTGATTTCGGTTATCCCGGGGATTAGTACTTGATAAAAAACTGTTCACGCTCAACACATACTCGAAGCAGTTTGTTATGATGTAGACAAGTGAGCAGACGGACGTTGGCCAGTCAGCATGATTGAGAAGACTTTAACCTAAATCGGTGACTTGTTCAGTATATAGTAGGCATACAGTAGATGCCCTGACCTAAGGCTGCCACCTTGACGTGGTGGTCGGGCTTGAGTGCTGCAATGATCCCGCTGGCTACACTGGCTGGAACGTCGTTCCAAAAGGTGCAACCATGTAAGGAAGGTCAAAGGGGAGCAGTCAGACCAAGAACAGCGAGACCCCGTACTGTGAATAATCGTGCTACGAGGCGGTCTGGGGGTAAAGCCGTACTGTCCTCTGCGACATGAGTAGGAAGGCATTAAGTTGTTTCCCCCAGGCGACCAGCATGTTCATATTCATGGAAGCAGCGATGCTGCCTTCCCTCGAGGAAGGACGGGTTAGAGAAGGTGGGCCCTAAAATTTGATTGCTCAACGCCTGACCGTGATCGCCGGCGCATTACCCAGTACGGTCGAAATACTTTTAAAACCAAAAAGTCCGGTGCTGCTCCAAAAGCACCTGCTGAGCGCAGCTACATCAGGAATGAGACAGTAATACCTTATTCCCTGCGCCCTCGGGTTAGGCCAACGCCAGCCGGCCGAGCAGGTCAGACCATTGAGTCATAGTCTATGGGCAGGGTCCCCGAACAGAACCCCACATCGTCCCACTGCATTGTAGGCCAGACTTCTGAGTCAAAGGCGGAGTAACCTTAATCAAACCCCCTTCTCCGGTCTGAGCACTCGGGACGTA